AGTAGTACGAGTAGCAGTAGCAGTAGCAGTAGCAGTAGTAGTAGTAGTAGTAGTAGTAGTAGTAGTAGTAAGACTAGTAATAGTAGTAACCGTAGTAGTCGTAGAAGTAGCAGTAGTACTAATAGTAATAGTAGTAGTAGTAGCAGTAGTAGTAGTAGTAGTAGTAATAGTAATAGTAGTAGTAGTAGTAGTAGTAGTAGTAGTAGTAGTAGTAGTAGTAGTAGTAGTAATAGTAGTAGTAGTAGTAGTAGTAGTAGTAGTAGTAGTAGTAGTAGTAGTAGTAGTAGTAGTAGTAGTAGTAGTAGTAGTAGTAGTAGCAGTAGTAGTCGTAGTAGTAGTAGTAGTAGTAGCAGTAGTAGTAGTAGTAGGTAGTAGTAGTCCGTCAGCCGTCCCCGCGGGGGCTGCGCACTGCGGAACTCTTGCCGCTTTCGAGGGTTGCCAGATGCTGATTTCCCAGCTGATGGGAAGGGGGGCTCCACCGTGCAAACAATTACCCTTTGACGTACCCAACCCGTCTTATACATGTGGCGATTATACCTAGGACCACACAATGCTGACTGGCATTCTGAAGGGCCCGCAGCGCGCAAGAAGAGCACCCAAAAGTGATTTCTGAAGGGCGCAGCACGAAAAGGAACGGCAACTATACAAAATGGACACACAGGGGCGTTGCACGAAACGCGTATGACGCACCTCCGAACTACCCACGTGGGAAGCACCTCCGCTGGGCCTCCCAGGAGCCAGCGAAAATGGCGACGCCTCCCCAGGGGGCGGCGAGGTCCCGAGGTGACCCGCGTGGGACCCACCTCCGCTGGGCCTCCCAGGAGCCCAAAACAGTGGCGACAGTTGCGCAGATCGCAAGCCCCCCAGGGGGCGGCGAGGTCCCGAGGTGGTCCGCGTGCCCCCCTCCCCCAGGAGCACACGAAAGTGGCGACAGTTGCGCAGATCGCAAGCCCCCCCAGGGGGCGGCGAGGTCCCGAGGTGGTCCGCAGGGGACCCACCGCCGCTGGGCCTCCCAGAAGCCCACGAAAGTGGCGACAGTTGCTCAGATCGCAAGCCCCCCAGGGGGCGGCGAGGTCCCGAAGTGATCCGCGTTGGACCCACCTCCGATGGGCCTCCCAGAAGCCCACGACAATGGCAACACTTGCACAGATCGCAAGCCCCCCGCAGGGCGGCGAGGTCCCGAGGTGGTCCACGTGGGACGTACCTCCGCTGGGCCTCCCAGGAGCCCGCGAAAGTGGCGACAATTGCACAGATCGCAAGCCCCCCAGGGGGCGGCGAGGTCCCGAGGTGATCCGCGTGGGACGTACCTCCGCTGGGCCTCACAGGAGCCCGCGAAAGTGGCGACAATTTCGCAGATCGCAAGCCCCCCAAAGGGCGGCGATGTCCCGAGGTGATCCGCGTTGGACCCACCTCCGCTGGGCCTCCCAGAAGCCCACGACAGTGGCAACAATTGCACAGATCGCAAGCCCCCCAAGGGGCGGCGATGTCCCGAGGTGATCCGCGTGGGACGTACCTCCGCTGGGCCTCACAGGAGCCCGCGAAAGTGGCGACAATTTCGCAGATCGCAAGCCCCCCAGGGGGCGGCGAGGTCCCGAGGTGATCCGCGTGGGACCCACCTCCGCTGGGCCTCCCAGGAGCCCACGAAAGTGGCGAAAGTTGCGCAGATCGCAACCCCCAGGGCACCGCGAGGTCCCGAGGTGGTCAGCGTGGGACGTACCCCCGCTGGGCCTCCCAGGATGCCCGCGAAAGTGGCGACAATTGCGCAGATCGCAGCCCCCAGGGCACCGCGAGGTCCCGAGGTGATCCGCGTGGGACGTACCTCCGCTGGGCCTCACAGGAGCCCGCGAAAGTGGCGACAGTTGCGCAGATCGCAGCCCCCAGGGCACCGCGAGGCACCGAGGTGGTCCGCGTGGGACGTACCCCCGCTGGGCCTCCCAGGAGCCCACGAAAGTGGCGACAATTGCGCAGATCGCAGCCCCCCAAGCGGAGCAGAGAGGACAGAAAAGCGGGAAAGGCCAAGAGGCAAGGCAGAGGGACAGCAGCTGTTTAGGGAAGCTCATCCAGGACTAAGAGGCGGCAATTAAAACCAAAACTTGCACAATTGAGGCACTCTCGCTCGGTAAGTTGGACTGCGGATTTCCGCGTCCGGTTGAGATGTAAAACTATATGCTGAATGGGGACATGCACTCACCAACATCTTGAAACTACACAGCTAAGTTGACGAGGCACGACAGTGCCCCCGCAGCCTCGGAGGGCCGAGGAGTGCTGAGCAACGGCCACATGCCAGAAGGCGAGGGAGAGCTCTTGATGACCTCACAGGGTAAATGGGGGGACAGGGAGGGCTGTGGAAAAGGGGCCCCTGAGAGCCCCTACAGGGGCCCTTTCGGGCCCCCAAAGGGGGCCTGTTGGGCCCGAGCAATGCACTATCTATTCATCTCCGCCCAAATCAAAAAGAAGACCATCCGCCGGCTAGAAGACAAAGAACATCCCAGGATGCCCTCCCCGGGATGCACAAGAACATTCAACAAGCTCGAAGACCACCAGGGCACCCTCCCTGAACCGACCTCTATCTTTGAAATAAGAGAACTGCCGTAAACATAACCTTTTGGCGCTCCGCGCGGATTTCTTGGATCCGCGCCAGGACCCCCCTCCATGGCGCGCGGAGCAGGCCAAGGGCGGCGCTGGAGGCGCCGCTGGGGGGCCCAGGCGCGAATCCAAGAGATCCGCGCGGAGCGCCACAAGTTTATGTTTATGTGTTTTTTCTTCGGTCTCTATCCGTGAAGCAGCACACGGGCCAGCGCGATGCTGCTTCGGAGCTCCGGGTCTGCACTGCCCTGCAGCCTCCTCTCGCTGGGGATGGGGACCACGGCATGCCGAGGGAGTGCGCCACTCGGGGGCTCGCCACCTCGCTCCAGGCAACGGCCCCCCCCTGGACTTACTGGACTTAAGTCGGGCGTGTCCCTCCACAGGAGAAATCATCAAAAATAGTCCAGCAACTTATCCTGGCGAAGGACCCAACCATATGCAGTTGTGAGTAAGGCGTTGTGGGTGCCGCTTTCGGTGGAACTCCCTATGGGGCCACGAAACGCGTGAGGGGCATGCCGTAATGGGTGGGGGAGACGCATGCGGGCGGTGCCACTGGGGGTTTCGGCGAGGCTGCCTATGGGTGTGGCTGACGCATGTGGCCACCCCCACTCGGGCCGCATGTGGAGCTCCCTATGGGGTCACGAAGCGCTGCACTGAGTGTGGCGGACGCACGTGGTCACCCCCACTGGGGCCGCAGATGGAATTCCCTATGGGGCCAGGAAGCGCTGTACTGGGTGTGGCGAACGCATGTGGCCACCCCCACTGGGGCCGCATGTGGAGCTCCCTATGGGGTCACGAAGCGCTGCACTGGGTGTGGCGGACGCACGTGGTCACCCCCACTGGGCCTTATTGGTTGAGCTCCCTATGGGGCCACGAAGCTCTGTACTGGGTGTGGCGGGCGCATGTGGCCACTCCCACTGGGGCCTTCGGTGGAACTCCCTATGGGGGCCGGGAAGCGCTGTACTCGGAGTGGCGGACGCATGTGGTCACCCCCACTGGGCCTTATAGGTGGAGCTCCCTATGGGGCCACGAAGCTCTGTACTGGGTGTGGCGGACGCATGTGGCCACCCCCACTGGGGCCTCAGGTGGAGCTCCCCATGGGGGCACGAAGCGCTGCACTCGATGTGACGGACGCATATGGCCACCCCCACGGGGGCCTTCGGTGGAGCTCCCTATGGGGGCCGGGAAGCGCTGTACTGGGTGTGGCGGACACATGTGGCCCCCCTCCCCCCACTGGGGCCTTCGGTGGAGCTCCCTATGGGGGCCGGGAAGCGCTGTACCGGGTGTGGCGGGCGCATGTGGCCCCCCCCACGGGGGCCTCAGGTGGAGCTCCCTTTGGGGGCCGGGATGCGCTGTACTGGGAGTGGCGGGCGCATGTGGCCACCCCCCACTGGGAGGGGGGGCAGCGGGCGGGAGGAGGCGCGGGGACCGTCTCTTCAAGACGAAGGCCCTGCACCACAGGATCGTTGGGAATAATCGAGGGGCGATGATTTCTCCGCCTCCTCCTCCTCCTCCTCCTCCGCTTCCTCCCCCCACTCCTAGCCCTTTCGATCAGGGTCGGCGGCACCGGCCGTCACGCCTCTCCAATAATCAAGGAACGATGACTGATGTATTCGTTTGGATTGTTGTTGGATATTTCTTTACAATCATATAAGCATCTATCGTCCACAATCCCCCTGTACGGGGGCGCGCCCAACCTATATAAGTCCAAGCAACGGACCCCATGGACCCCTCAGAACACGTCGGGGCTCCCAGAGGCGCCCACACACGTCCATAATCTCCCCGATGCTCGGTCCTCCCTCTCCCCCGATGCCCGATTCCCATAGCCAGCCTTGAACTTATCCCTATCCCTAAGAAGCTGTGGGAATCCTTCAGATCGGCACCTTGGTGATAGAGGCCTCCGATACGGAGTCCGAGTAGATGGGGTCGGAGGATCACGCCGCAACGTCAATACATCGCCGATGCGTTGGCGACGTGGGCGATGCATCGGCGTCATCAGCGTGGAGAAGATCGGGATCCACAACGAGCCGCGTCGCCGATGCAGCGGCGGTGCGGCGCGACCCTCCGACCCCACTTGCCCTGGCCCCACTCGTATCGGGGATGGACAGACCTCCCTTTAGTAAAACGTGGTTTAGTGAAAACGACCTGAGGCCCAAACCTGGCGGGCGCAAGCCTGGAAAGTAACGGCCACGGCGCCCTCTCGAGAACCGAAAACGGACAATTCACTAATCGACGTGTCACTGTTGGGGGCTCTGTCCACCCCCGATCGTGAGGTCTGGATCCCCCCCCCGATCCTCGATGCGGTGCTGGCGCCCCTCTCGGTGAACCCCCCTGGCACGGCCCGATCCCTCCACGGGGCAGGGGAAGGAGGCGGGAGGGCCGCCGCCGCGGCCCGCGCGGGCAGGCGGGGCGACGCAGGTGAAGTGGCCCCCGACGGTCTGCGAGAAGAACAGGGCGATCCGGTGCCTTGGCAGCTCTTGGACGCCCCGAGTTATCCGGGGTAACTCGGGTCCGGGGCAACGAAGGATTGCAAAAAACGAAGGATTGAACAAAACCAAGGGTTTTTTTGCAATCCTTGTTTTTTTTGCAATCCTTCGTTTTTGCAATCCTTCGTTCGGTGCCTTGGCAGCTCTTGGACGCCCGAGTTATCCGGGGTAACTCGGGTCCGGGGCAACTCGGGTTCGGACTCCCGAGAAACGAACCCGAGTTACACGACGGTCGGAAGAAGTAGGTAAAGACATGAAGTGGGAAGGCGGATACAGTAGATTGGGTCCAGGTCCTCCCAGAGGACAGCAAAACACAGCAACAGCATGTCGATTCTTGGAGTAGGAAGGCGCTTGAAGTAGATTGGGACCTGGGAGTCCAAAAATACCTACTTTCAACGACCGGCGTGTAACCCTGACCCGAGTTTCCCCTGATGATTCGGGGCTCTGAAGCTCCGGCTGGTCAGAAAGCAGCAGCGAGGCAGTCATGCACCCGGGAGCGCGCAGGGCACTGCACTTCCCAGCAGGCGAGCACTGCAGGCACGTCCTCGTTCGAGGCCGCGTCCAAGCAGTGCTCTCGCATACTGAGATCACTGATTGCCGAGGATGTGCACGGCCAGTCTGAGCTGGTCGAGTCCGCGAAATTGTGGCGGATCGGGCGCGGGTCGAATCGCGCCAGAGTCGGCACCGCATCGGATGGGGATCGAATCGTCTGGGATCGCGGATCGGGACCATGCAGCCCGCAGAGGGACCCGGCCCGCGCCAGATCGGTCTGGACCGAAATGGAAATCAAGACAAGGGGATCGGATCGGATCGAACTGGACCGTGAGCAGCCGCCAGAACCAGATGCGCCACGCGGGAGGTCCAGCGCCGACCCAAGAAATCCGCTCGGACGTTCGAACATCTGTGCTCATGTTGTGCTGAATAACTGGAAGGAGTTGTTGTACTGAACAACTGGAATGCTCCGCAGTGCTTGCACGAAGGAGTTGTTGTGCTGAATGACTGGGAGGGCTCGCCGCCGATCTCCGCCCTCGTCGCTGCCTCGTGCGCTGTGTTGGAAACCTCCAGAAGGACGACGACGACGACGACGACGACAACGACGACGACGCCGTCGCCGACGCCCTGCCCTGCCTCCCCTCGGGTCGCCCCCAGCAGCCGGCCCCTGGCGTGGCCTGCACGCCTCTTGCACGGGCTGAAGAACATCGAGGCGGCATCACAGAGCGTGACTACCTACCAGACCATCCCAACCCAACCCGAAGACCCGAATTGCGGGTTGGGGGGGGTAAGGGTTCCACATGTGTTTTTTTCGATGTTTCCCGAACCCCCCCCACTGGAAATCGAGGGTAAATCTGAGCCTTCGGGTTGGGTTGGGGTGGTCTGGTGGGTGGTGAGAGCGGAAGCGGCCCCCCGCAAGAAACCAAGCCCCGAAAGCCCGTGCGCGAGGTGCAGCCGAGGGGAAACCTGGAGCCCCCGGACCGCAGGAGCTTCTTCACCTGCTGCGGAGGTCAGCGCGCAGCGTGCGGAGCGAGGACACCCCTCCTCCTCCTCCTCCTCCTCCTCCTCCTCCTCCTCCTCCTCCTCCTCCTCCTCCTCCTCCTCTTCCTCCTCCTCCGCCTCCTCCTCCTCCTCCTCCCCTCCTCCCCTCCGCAGCGTGCGCGATCCAGGATACCCCGACGAAAAGAATATGGATTCTTGTTGCGCGCCCCAACTGTAACCATGTGTGGCTGCTGGAAACCCGGTTCGGGCCTCGTGACAATGAAAACAACTGCTCGGGATGAAAAGTTGGCCCTGGGGAAGGAAGGGATCGATGGGACCAGGAGCCTGAGCATCGCAAACATCGAAACGCTGGACATCTGGGAACTGGCACGAAGCCGCCGCTCCCTTCTCCTGGAAGCCACCCGAATGGGGCCATTCCTGTTTCTCCTTCTCCCCCACTCCTTCCGGGTTGACCTTGGGGGGTGGGGGGGGCACCTCGTCGTCGCGGCTGGACACAACTCAAACAATACAGATATGCCTGGCTGCGCCGAAAGAACAACACACGCACTCAAGCCTGTAGGTAGGAGAAATGGGGAAGGGCAAGGCGATGAAGGCGCTATGGGCGCGAATTGTTGGACCCCCAGGTGGGCTCCCCCTCGAACGGGGATCCCCCTCAGACAACACACGCCCGTTGGTCACCCCCCCCCTGGATTCCACCCTGGGAAATACGGGGGTCGTGTCTCATGAGGATGGATTCTGGAAGACTCGGGGGCCTGTTCGGAGCATACGTTGCGCCGCCCACAGGGTGTGGACAGGGCGGGAGGATCGCCACGCATCGCAGATGCATCGGCGATGCGTCGGCGACGTCGCGATGAAGAGAAACGGGTTCCGGCTCGAACCGCATCGTCGACGCTTCGGCGGCGCAGCTCAATACTGCGAGCCTATCTGCTGTGGC